GGTTGTGAACCTAAAAAAAAAAAAAAAAAAAAAAAAAAAAAAAAAAAAAAAATATGGGGAAATTAGTGGGTACCCATCCCCTCCCCATCCCCTGTGGATATTTAAAGAATATCACTTACCCTACCCAACGGATAAGAAAAAAGGGAAAAATTCATACATATGGGTTGGGTCTCCATAGATACCCATAGGATAGGTTATCCATTGCCATCCCTAGAAAATGTCACACATACAACTCGAGTCTCGATGAAATAACATCACCAAAAAGGGTTAGTGACAGCAAAAGGGACCAGTCGATGCCACGAAAGGATAGGCAGGGGTTAGTCGACCCTAGGTAGGTTGGTTGGCGATGGGATATGATTTACACATGGAAAAGAAAGACAGAAGAGAGAAATTGACATGTAATTTAATAATTTAATAATTTTTTTGATAAAATTATAATTAATTTACATTCTTTCATGTCTGTCATAATTATTTTAAACTCACCACATTTTGTTACTTTTTTTTTTTTTGGTCAATTCGTTTATTTTATTTATTATACTTCCCTCTTAGACGGATTAGAAAAAAACTAATCTTTTGCAGAGCAATGATTCATGACTCTAAATTTAAAACTTTAACAATGGTTCTAATGATGTAGCTTGGAGCAAAAAAAAAAATCAAGACACATATATCAAATCATTCATGAGTAGGACTCACAACCACATAAGTAAAACTCTCATTAGAGCTCTATTTTTAGAGCTATTTTGGGAAGATGATTATAATCAGTTTTTTAGTTAAAAGCTGCTTATAAACTGCTTTTTTGTAAAAGAAGAAATAGATTATAATTTGAAAAGTGAATTATAACTCACTTCCCAAAAGAGCCTTTAGTGTTCTTAAACATTTTTCTCTTTTGCATGGGGTGACAAAAGTCTTCACCAATAGTGTGGATGCATATTCTATAAAGCTTACTACTAAGATCACACATTTGGTCTTCTTTCACTAATCTTTTCTCTGGGGTAAGACATATTCTATACAGCTTTCTTCGCCGGCTTTGGCCAAAGCCAACCTTGATGATTATATATATATATATATATATATACAGAAAAGGAAAAACAAAAAGGTAAATCCATTTGGTAGACATTTTTACAGATTAAAAAAGGGTTGAGTTTTAGTGTTCTTAAACATTTTTCTCTTTTGCATGGGGTGACAAAAGTCCTCACCAATAGTGTGGATGCATATTCTATAAAGCTTATTACTAAGATCACACATTTGGTCTTCATTCACTAATCTTTTCTCTGGGGTAACACATATTCTATACAGCTTTCTTTGCCGGCTTTGGCCAAAGCCAACCTTGATGATTATATATATACAGAAAAGAAAAAACAAAAAGGTAAATCCATTTGGTAGAAATTTTTAGAGTTTAAAAAAGGGTTGAGTTTCGTGCAAATTTGAACTTCATAAAATTTTCATGTGAAGTCCATCACATGTCATGTTTCGATAATCTGAATCGTTCATTTTGTAATACTCTTCACATATATCATCCAATAATTGTAATATTTTCATTTTATGGTGTTTATCAAAATAAAATTAGATGACCTATTTTTAAAAACATATTTGTCATCTATATTTTTTTTTTTAGATAATGCGATAAAATAAAAATATTAAGATTATTAAATTGATTTAATTTTTTTCATAAATGATACTAGTTTAGATTATCAAAACAACACTGAAAATACACCTAATGACTCTCTTAAATTTTTTAAAAGTCATGTTCAAATTGAGGAGGTGTTTGATAACCTGATTATATATTTAAAATTGAATGTATTAAGTGATAATTAATTAAGCTCATTTAATATCACTTAAAAATTTAAATGCCTCTTAAAATGTAGGCCAAAAGTTAAGAAATTTTTTAAATCATATGAAACTTATTTAATTCTGACTAAATTTATAAATACTAAACATAAGTGTTAATATGTACTATTGAACCCACTACCACCGCTACTATCACCCATATTGCTACCACTACCACTACCACAATCACCACAATCACCACAGCCATCACCATCATGCCACCACCACTACCATCACCATTACCACTACACTACTGCTACCACCGCCACACCACCATCACCACTACTACTCACTACAAGAATTTTCACTTTTGGCGACTAAATTTTTAGTCGCCAAAAGTCATCTTTTTGTCGCCTGTAGTCTTTAGCGACTAAATTTTTTGGTCAGAAAATTAGTAGCGAAATAGTAGTCGGGAAATCTAATTGCCGACTAAAGCTAATTTAGTCGCCAAATGTATACCTTTGCCGACTAAATATTTAGTCGCCAATAGGTTGGAAAATTAATTAAATAATATATTTTTGTTGACCAATTTTTTTGTCGCCAAAAGCCAATTATTTAGTCGTCGTATGGGTCCAAATTACGTTCCGTCAGTTGTCACAAGTCCTATTTGTCATGGGGAAGCTATTCGTGAGAGTCACACGGTCGTTCGGGGGCTGTTTAGAATTTTCGCCCCCGAAACGTCCTTTTTTGACTTAGTTTAGGGCGTATTCGGCTCTAACTCTCTACCTACAGGTCCGAATTACGTTCCATCAGTTGTCACAAGTCCTATTTGTTATGGGGAAGCTGTCCATGAGAGTCACACAGTGGTTTGGGGACTGTTTTGAATTTTTTTCCCTCGAAAAGCTCTT